AATGGCAAAATTGAAATATGGGTCAAATTGCGGCAGCGATCTATTTTGCAGTTGGAATGATTTTTTTTAATTTATTGAGTGTTTTTCCTGGAAAGATCACAACAAAATCTACGAGTACTCCAATTTTCAGGTTTTTTCACGCATTCTTCTGAGCGTGAAAGCTCACTGAATTTGGAGTACTTTTTTAGTTGGCCGAGGCATGGCTGAGTGGCAAAAATGGAAAATGTGCCGAATCGGCGCGGCGATTATTTCGCAGTGTAAATGATTTTTTGTAAATGTTCTATTATTWTTTCTGGAAAGAACACGACCTCATCTATGGATTCTCAGAATTTCAGATTTTTGTGCATGTTCGTTCGAGCACAGAAAATTGCCAAAGTTGCCTCTTGCAAAACGCCTATTTCGTTGTGCCTGACCTCCCTGGTTTGAGAAGACGGGGCTCAATGCCTGGGCCTGAGGGCCCTTTTGCAGTTCACATGCCCGCACTTCTTTTTGGGGTCCGCTTCTACCCGGGGACCGGTCCATCGCCCCCCACTTCTTTTTGGGGTCCACTTCCACCCGAGGACCGGTCCTTCCTTTTTCCAAAAGTCCCGGTTCTAGAAGAGCTAGCTGTAGGTAGTCCGCAATTTTGCCAAGGACCGGTCCCCAAAAAACATTTGTCCCCTAAGAACCCACTTTGCGTCCTGGTCGCCTGCCACCGAAAACGCGACACCTTGACACAGACGCGGAAGCACACTATACCGCAGCCTTAGGGCTGCGAACTTGCGATTTTTCATTCACAGCCCAGAACCCTCATCTGAGTGCAACAACCCCAGAATCGTTGTCAGATAGTTAGACAGGATGCGACCTTGGACTGTAAGTAGACAGATTAGAATAGCACAGAGATTCAATGGCAATTAACAAACCCCAGTAGTCAACCAAGACGCAGCGGATGACTTATCAAGCTATTTTTAGGCTCTTACTATTGACACTGGCACTGTAGGACCCTGTATGCCCCACTATGGGTGAGGCGAAGTACAGATTTCATTGTACCTGACTCAAAACATCAAATCCAGTATAGCGCTTTCAGACACTGACTCAATACTGAATTGCGATTTCAGGGTGACTGACAGACTGAAATTCTGACGGACAGAACCTAAGATATGACAAACCCTAGCTGCCCCAAGCACTGGCTATGGCAGCGCAACTTTCAGAATTTCATTTTCACTGACATACAGACCCTGAACTTCTCAATTCACAGTGTATACTGAATCGCAATACTGTAATACTGTCTGAGATGCAATTTGAGACAGAAAGAAGGTCAAATAGAGTCAGTAGAAGTCAAAGTAGATAGGTAGGGGAAATGGCTATGGCTGTCAGGCAGTGCAATTTTCCCTTTTACTATCTACAGACATACAATTGCAATATCCCCAGTCTAATCACAACTATCAGACTCGCTTCAGGGACTTGAATAAGGAACACACTTACTTCAGGGCAAAACACTGGAAGAAGAAGTTGAACTGGCTATGGCTGCCATCTCGCTCGTTTCTTCAATTCACTGTTCCTGATGCTCCCACGTTCCAAATCTCTTGAAACTTGGTGATACTGTAGTTCTTGATATGGCGATCAACCTCCACTAATCAGATTCACTGGATCTGGCCCAAAATCTGAAACTCGACATAGCCCCAGGTATCTCGCCACCAGCAGAGTCAACGCCTGGGCTAAAAATAGCCCCTCAGTGCCTCTCAAGCCACTGAGCACTGAATCACCACCAATCTCTGTGTCATACCAACCGCCACACACTCTTCACCAACACCCTACTGAGCGCAGTACTGAAGATGCGATTTCTCCATGAAACCTGACGTCAGAAGCTCTCAGGTAGTGATGGCTGCCTCAGTCCATCATCTCGCCACTGTCTGGGTCCGATCTGCTCTGATGCCAATTGTTATGAACATGATTGTCTGTTGAATTTTATCGACACTCACTCACAGGAACTCCCGTACACTCCCATACATGCACAAAAGGAAGGGGAGAGGTAGTGGAGTATCACACCGCCCAACAGAAAGAAACGCAGCGGAAGACTCAGAGGAGCGAAGTGACCGAACACACAAACTGTGAATTCTCTCCACACAAATCCCAACAATCATTCATAGAAGACAACCGAGTGATCACAGCCAGAAATCAATGAAGGGATRACAACTCAAACATAGTATTGCAACTGTTTATTMAACTYMGAGCATCGTTTTCACTGAATAACCTCAGAACCCTGTTGCGCTACCCTCAAAGGGGTAGCGCCTCAACCCCACCACCCTGAACGGCTAAAAATAGCACCGAAACCCCAGGCAACACCCAGCGCCACCCTGACATCCAACCCAGTGGCCTGCACCAAAGTGAAACAGGCTCCCAGAGCCAATCGCCACCCAGATGATGAAGAAGAAGCTCAGCGCCAACAGTCCCTGACGAAGATGAAGTCCAGACGATGATAACGTCTGAGAAGATGCAGCTATGGCTGCATCGCCACTGGGACCCTACTCCTGAGGAGGGTCAGTAGTGCACCACGTGCTCCAACGCATCAGACCTCTGATAGCCCAGACCGCTTTGACTCCTAGAGAGTCAGAGCGGACAGCGTGACCCCAGTCCGGTCAGCGCTCCGAAGGTCTGGCTATGTCCGCCGTCTCCACCACAGGAATCAGCAACCACGAACTGATACCGTGTGCGCAGCAACTTCCACCACGAAGTGTCAACTGCCAAAAAAAAGCCCAGGACCGATGTCCCCATCCTATCTATACTCTAACACTAGCCTAGACCGACGTAGACCGGACTGACTGACCGACCGGTACCGTTTCAGTTTCGGCCTCTAGGGCCTCTCCCTACCCGGCTATAGGCTATAGGACCGTCTATCAGCATAGGCCCATAGGGCCTGTCTGTCCTAGGGGTAGCCCGGGTCTGCTATTTGCAGTTAGGGTAGCTGTAGGAAAATCGAGTTAGTACTGGGCCCATATTTCTATATTTAGAGACATGTCCCTCACGACTTTTCCATACAGGCAGGTCTCTCGGTTAGTCCTCAGCCAAACAAAATTACGAATCTGTCCCTAACTATGGTACAGCCTCGTCAGAGTAAGGCTACAGGCAACCTGGAACCAGCAAGTCATTGCACAGACTGGTACAGTACACAGTCTCTGAGTGTGGCATACTGCATAGCCACACGGGCCCTGCAGGGCCCGTCCCGGACATTCAGCCTAAAAGCCTAAGACTTAGGGCTTACAGGCCCCGGTCGTTTCAGCCTGAAAGATGAAAAACGAGGGCCTGCAGGCCCTACTCCGTTTAAGCCTATTTCTGGGTCTTTCAGAACCAGAGTTTTTCCAGCCTGAAACGGAGGGCCATTTTCAGGCCCTCATTGTTTCGACCTGCCCCTAAGACTCAGGCACGTAAACAGGGATGCGGAACAGGCCAGAAATAGCCTGTTCCTCACGAGCTCGAGCAGGAGCTGCAGCTGCAGCCCCTGCCTCCTTTCGGCATTGGCAAGAGCAGCCTCCTGAACTGCTCGCACGGCTCAGGAGGCACACCCGGTAGTACATAGGAGGTTCCCATGCACTTCACGGGTAGGTAGTTTCAGTAGGCACTGGTAGTCTTCAGGTTTCGGCCGCAGCACTCAGGAGGAGCGCTGCAGTAGTCTCCAGCGCTAAGTAGTAGTAGCGCTAGCTGTAGTCTTCGGCGCTGGGCGCCATAGCCATAGAGTAGTCGTCAGCGCTGGGCGCTGGTAGGTGGTAGATCGTAGAGTGGGAGAGAGACTGGCGGAGGCCAGTGATACTTACCTGTGGCGCCATCGCTCCAGCTCCATCTTCGTGGTACCTGCATCAAGGCGCCAACTTCACAGGTTAGTACTGGACACAGAGAGAGAGAGAGTTCTTCTTCTTCCTCTTCTAAGTCCACCTTCTCTTCT